CGTATTATCCTTATCAAACAAACTGAAAACTCGCATTTTACCCTGTACGGAGAAGCAGGTTCGACTTTCTTCAACGATGCACGTATTTATTCCACTTCTAACTGACACCCCCCACCCTCCGGGAACAAGGTCCGCGAAAAATCAACCCGTGCCGGGGGTATTTAACAACCCTGCTGCGCTCTGCATTTCTCTCTGTCAGATAATCAACTTATTCCATAGAAATTCTATTCATCCGATGAAAAATCCTCTGCTCCACGGTAAGGTTTCAGCTGCTTCAGCTAAATCATTTTGGTTTGGAAAATTTCCAGAAAATACAATGAATGAGCTATTTTATTTCTTTAGAAGTTTTTGTATTTACCGCGAGAGCTGGAATCGACTCGAATTCTGCTCTCCACGCCAACGGCACGATAGAATGAGGATTGGACAGTCGGATCTCCCGGACACTACTGTCAAAGAGGCAAATTATGCCAAACTGTACGTCCGGAACGTCAATCTGTAGGGGCGCTGTCTGTTAGGGAAAAAGAAAACGTCCCCACGTTTCAACGAAACATGTAAATAGATTTTCTTTACTAAATCTGTAAGTGTAAGCTCTTTTGAATTATATCTTGATAAAAAAAACGCTACATGAGGTAACAAAAATTAATTCACTAAACAAAAAACTAAGAATGAGGACAAACCACTGGTTTCAGGTGGTGACTTAAGGAAACTGGACAATCAGTGTTAAAAGGCTGGTCAGAAATAAATTTTGTTTTTGAAATCGACCGGTATCCTATGAAGAAACTACTGCTTAGTTACCGATAACTACGGAAACAGGTGGACTTACACGAAACTCTGCCTCCATTCTTAGCCAGATTATCTCCTCTGGATTGCCGTTCAGTTCGCAGGGTAGGAGACATCGCGCGTAGCCGGCAGATTGTGAGTAAAATACCAGATTCACTTCACAGGCCCCTGCCGGTGGAACCGTGCCTTCCTCCTCGATTACACAGACCTCAACTGGTGTGCTTTCGTTCATGTTTAGAAGTTCGGTTTCTGCGTCTGCCTCAGTTGTTGGCACAGGTTCAACCATCGCTAGTACCTTCTGGGTGTTCCAATGAAAGGCTATGGGACAGTTTTCGGAACGATTGACCAGCTGAAAATGGGAAAACTGGTTTGTAAATTTTGTTTTTGCGAGAAAGGCTCGCACAGTCGCTTAGTCTCGGGGGTAACATTGAATGAAGCATAGCCGAATAAGTTTAGTCTAATTGGATGGAGGTTAGAGCACATTTGGTACAAGGCCATCCCTTTTTAACTGAGGCCCAAATTGAATTTCAGTCAGTGGTTTGTAAAGGCAAGTTATTAAACTTTAAATTGACAGACATTTTACAGCTTTTGAGCACAAACTCTTCCTGAGTTGCCAGATCGGGCAT